TAGAGACGGGGTTTCACCATGTTGACCAGGATGGTCTCGATCTCTTGACCTCGTGATCCACCCGCCTCGGCCTCCCAAAGTGCTGGGATTACAGGCGTGAGCCACCGCGCCCGACCCGGATGATAATTCTTAAACCCTTCTTTTCTGGATCCTGGAATACCCTTGCCAATCCATATATCCATTAATCACTTTGTCAATTTTTTTTTTTTGAGACAGGGTCTCACTTTATCACCCAGGCTGGAGTGCAATGTGCAATCATGACTCACTGCAGCCTCAAACTCCCCATGTCAAGCAATCCTCCCCCTTCAGCCTCCTGAGTAGCTAAGACTACAGGTGTGCCCCACCACACCCAACTAACTTTTTTATTTTCATTTTTATAGAGACAGGGGTTTTGCTAGTTGTTCATGCTGGTCTTGAATTCCTGGGCTCAAGTGATCCTCCTGCCTCAGTCTCCCAAGTTGTGTGCCTATAATCCCAGCACTTTGGGAGGTCGAACCGGGAAGAGCAATTGGGACTGGGAGGTTGAGGCTTCAGTGAGCCATGATCGCACCACCGCACTACAGCCTGGGTGACAGAGTGAGACTCTGTCTGTAAAAATAAAATAAAATAAATCATTCAATCAATATTTATTGAGTCTCTCCTATCCACCAGGCCCTATTCTATGTGCTTGGAGTACATCAGTGAACAAAACAGACAAAGGTCCCTGTTTTTATGGGGTTTACATTCCAGTAGGATGAAGAGAGATAATAAACAAAAAGAAATAGATGATCCATACGTAATAAATTATATAGTATGTGAGGATGTAAAAAGTGCCATGGTGCCATGGCGAAAAGAAAAAGCAGCTCAGAGCTCAAGGGATTAGGAAAGCTAAGGAAACGGGTTGTAATCTTTTCGTTCTTGTTGTAGAAACAGGGCCTCACTGTGTTGCCCGGGCTGGTCCTGAACTCCTGGCCTCAAAGTGATCCTCCTGCCTCGGCCTTCCAAAGTGCTGTGATTACAGCATGAGGCACTGTGCCTGGTTCAATCATTTTTTTTAAGTGGTAAAATTTTAAATGAAAGCTTATATAAGATTATAATATAGTCCAGGTGTGGTGGCTCGCATCTATAATCCCAGCACTTTGGGAGGCTGAGGCAGGTGGATCATTTGAGGTCAGGAGTTTGAGACCAGCCTGGCCAACCTGGAGAAACCCAATCTCTACTAAAAATACAAAAATTAGCCAGGCAGGGTGGCGTGCTCCTGTAACCCCAGGTTGCAGTGAACTGAGATCACACCACCACACTCCAGCCTGGGTGACAGAGCGAGACTCAGTCTTAAAAAAAAAAAAAAAGATTATAATATAAACAACAGATACAGTAGATTTAAAAGGTATACATTTACATATTTTGACATATAACAATTATTATCAAAGTTAATTTATAAGAACCGTGACCCTATACTGATGAACACAAACATTTTGATAACAAGGTCTAAAGATGCAAATTACAATCTTTTATCAGCCTGACAGCATTCATTGAAGTCAAATCAGGCATTTTGGGAAATCTAGGGTTCCTTGGAACACAATTTGAAAACCACTCCTTGGAGGGAAAGTGAGGGGACAGCTGGAAGCAGCCTGTTTTTACAGTTTGAGGGTAGCTTCCTAAAGCATTCCAATTTGAGAAAAAGGACCTGGTCATTTGAGGGGGCTCCAGGGGGCATTGAGGCTCTGGTGTGAGATGGACAGTGCCAGCAGATGGCTTTCTGCTCAGGCAGTCCAGACATTGGTAGGAGGGCCAATCTCCAAGACAGGTTCTGAAACAAACAAGAAGGGAGCGAGAAAGAGTCCCGTCTTTTCCCCTGGGAACAAGACTATTCTACTTTCCCTTTCTTACACAGAACCATATGTAAGCCCAGCTCAAGGCCCTTTCTCAGACAGATCCCACATCCCAACAAAGACATGCCACACTTCACACAGGTGTTAAAGTATGTTTGCTCAGCCAAGACCAGCCACTAACCTTGTGAATTGCTTATTTCTACACTATTCCTAAAACAAAAGTTGTATTTACCTACACAGATCTTGCCAAGTGAGTGCAGTTTTCAACAAAAACAGGAATCTTTGGATTTTGGGGGAAGGTTTTATCTGTAAGTCTAGATTCCTATTTTTCCACTTGCATTTTTTATTCCTCTTCCCCACTCTGCTTCTATCAACAGCAACCTTGGTAGCCTTAATCTCTGGCTCCCTTTCTAGTCCAGCAGTTGGACAAGGGTTTGAATGGCAAGGTGGCTCTAGAAAAACTGCATAGGAGTGTTTCGATCAACTCTATATAAGCTGATTTTTATCCAGAGTGCTGTTATGAAAGCATTAGGTTGGGAGCCTGAATTCTTGGAATCTATTTTCCTTCTGCCATTGATTTCTCAACGGGCCCCATTGACTGAGATATGAATTGTTTTGTTTTGTTTTGCTTTTTTTCTTTGAGACAGAATTTTGTTCTTGTTGCCCGGGCTGGAGTGCAATGGCATGATTTTGACTCACTGCAACCTCTGCCTCCTGGGTTCATGCGATTCTCCTGCCTCAGCCTCCCAAGTAACTGGGATTACAGACACCTGCCACCATGCCTGGCTAATTTTTTGTGTTTTTAGTAGAGACGGGTTTTACTGTGTTGGCCAGGCTGGTCTCAAACTCCTGACCTCAGATGATCCACCTGCCTTGGCCTCCCAAAGTGCTGGGAGTACAGGAATGAGTAGTCTAGCCTGGACATCAGAACAGGACCCAATCTCCTAAAAAAAATGGGAATGACAATTATTATATCTGCCTAATAGTGTTATTTTGAGGATTGGTTAACACAGGTGAAGGATTTAGAAAGGGGCCCGGCATGTAATAAGTACTAATTTTATTATTTCCTTTACCTTAAGCCCTGTCCCAACACTCCTTTTTAACATGAAAATGGGGGCCAGGCGCGGTGGCTCACGCCTGTGATCCCAGCACTTTGGGAGGCTAAGGTGGTGGATCACAAGGTCAGGAGATCGAGACCATCCTGGCCAACATGGTGATACCCCGTCTCTACTAAAAATACAAAAATTAGCTGGGTATGGTGGTGCATGCCTGCAATCCCAGCTACTCAGGAGGCTGAGGCAGGAGAATCGCTTGAACCAGGGAGTCGGAATTTGCAGTCAGCAGAGATTACGCCACTGCATTCCAGGCTGGTGACAGAGCAAGACTCTGTCTCCAAAAAAAAAAAAAAAAAGAAAGAAAAGATGAAAATAGGCCAGTGCTATGGCTTACACCTGTAATCCTAACACTGGCTGAGGCAGGAGGATTGCTTGAGGCCAGGAGTTTGAGACCAGTCTAGGTAATAGAGCAAGACCCTTGTCTCTACAAAAATTTAAAAAATTATCTGGGTATGGTGCTGTGCACCTGTAGTCCTAGCTACTCAGGAGGCTGAGGTGGGAGGATTGCCTGAGCCCAGGAGGTAGAGGCTGCAGTGAGCTGATTGTGCCACTGAACTCCAGCCTGGGTGACAGAGTGAGACCCTGACACTAAAGAAAAGAAAAGGAAATACTCCTAGTACAGGTTACAGTCATAAGACACTTGTGCTGTCCAATTGACAAATCATGATCTCAATTATTACCTATAGCATAGTGAGGGAGTGATTTCTGCATTTGCTGAGGAAGAAGGAGAAGCTCAGCCACAGTGAGGAGCTTGACAAGAGCATGAGCTGCTGTCTGAGCTGCACCCAAGTCCATTCAGTACTAAAGCCCTCAGGAGAAATGTTTTACTTTGATAAAACATCCCATTGAGAACATTGTACTCCTGCGGGGAAGGGGTAATGAAAGGAGGAGGCAGGTGCAGAAAGAGGAGTTGGAGCCCCTGAGATAAACTTTATCTTCTTACAGTTTTGCCCAGGGCCAATCCTACTTACCTCACTTTTCACTCCCTCAACCAAACACAGAGGCCCGTCTTCCAAATTTGACTGGCATCCAACTTAAACACCTTGATGAAACCCGAGCTGGGAGAGGAGGTCGGTTTCAGCATTTTGGTTAATCATTTATTAAAACCATCTTAACAGGGGTCAGTGTGTAAACAGCTGAGCCATTTTTGCTAAAATGTCAGGTTGAGCAAATATTTGACAAGCAGAGAAAGGTCTTGGTGCAGAATGAATTTTCTAACACACAACTTGTACTTTATAAGATCCAGGAATTGGCATCTTCCTCACTTTTCAGCCTCTCCCCCCAACATTCTTCCTGGCCAAATCAGTCAAAAGCAGGAGTCTCTGGTCCCTCTGTGCTGAATTGGGCCTCCTGCTTGTTAGCCAAGTAAATGAGCTGAGAAGACCCCAGCTGTTTCTTGGACAGTAGCTCCCTCCTGTCCAGCCTAATAAGACAGAGACGGAAGGGATATGGAGATGTGCAGTTGAGGGAACTTTCTGGCGCAGGCCAGCAACGCTGCAATTAGGAGATTTTCTCATCCACGAACTCAGGTGGTGCCTGGAGAAGAAGAAGGAATCAGTTGAGAAATAAGCCTTTAACTGAAAGTCAGGGGAAAAAACGTTTAATCCTTATTAACTCTCCTGTGACCACTCCCAAATAAAAATAATTCCCTAACACTCAGGTAGTAATAGTTACTGCAATCTAGTGAGTCTCTACTTACAATGTGCCAGGTATGTGCTGGCTCCAGCAAGATGTATATTATTATTCCTGTTCTACAGACGAGAAGGCTGAGGCTCAGAGAGGTTAAGTAACTTGCCTAAAGTGACACAGCTGCTAAATGATGAAGCAGGATCCAAACCCCTATCCATCTAGCTTAAAATTTCATTCCACTGTACCATACTGCCTGCCAGGCAATAGAAAGAGAGAGAAGGTCTTACTGTTATTCAGCACTTATCTGCAGGTGACACACTAGTCATATTAGAAGTAGTGGTGGCAGTGGTAACAGTATTGTAATGTGCACCTTATAAAGCAGTTGTTTTTATTCTGGAGAAAGTAAATTGCCTAGAAAACTTTCAAAAAAATTTTTATTTGCATGAACTATGCATATTTTTCTAGGTAGAGAGAAACATTCTTTTTTTTCAAACTTTCGAAAGAGTTTCTAAATTCAAAAAAAGTTAAATCCACTGCTTGAAAGGGAGAGTCAAGCTGGGCACAATGGCTCATGCCTGTAATCCCAGCACTTTGGGAAGCTGAGGTGGAAGAACTGGTTGAAGCCAGGAGCTCAAGACCATCTTGGGCAACATAGCGAGATTCTCTCTCTACCAAAAAAAGAAAAAAAGAAAGAAAGAAAACAAACCCATGTGATGGAAAGATGATAAAAAATAAAAAAAACTAATAGAGATTCATTGAAATAGTTCTCGCTATTCAGAGGTTCATAGATTTGAAGTGGAGCTAACATAGACATGAGAAGAACATGCAGAGAGTGGGATAAAACTGATAGCGTGCTTCCTTTCCTGTCCTGTTCCGTCCTTTCCTTTCCTTTCCTGGCCTTTCCTTTCTTTCCTCCTTCCTTCCTTCCTTTCCTTTCCTCCTTCCTTCCTTCCTTCCTTCCTTCCTTCCTTCCTTCCTTCCTTCCTTCCTCCCTCCCTCCCTCCCTCTCTCTCTTTCTTTCTTTCTTCTTTCTTCTTGGACAGGGTCTCTCTCTATCGCCCAGGCTGGAATGCAATGACATGATCATGGCTCACTGCAGCCTCAACCTCCTGGGCTCAAGCAATTCTCTGACCTCAGTTTCCAAATAGCTGGGACTATAGGCCTGCACCACCATGCCTGGCTAATTTTTGTATTTTTGGTAGAGACAGGGCTTGCCATGTTTTCCAGGCTGGTCTTGAACTCCTGGACTCAAAAGATCCTAAAGTGCTGGGATTACAGGCAGGAGCCACCATGCCCAGCAGTTAACATTTTTCATTAGGTACAAATCAAGAGTTAAAGAAAGTGTTCGGGCCAGTGCAGGAGGTGGGAGGATTGCCTGAGCCCAGGATTCTAGGTTGCAGTGAGTTAAGATTGCACCACTGCAGTACAGCCTTGGCAACAGAACAAGACTCTGTCTCTAAAAAATGACAATAACAAAATAATAATAAAGAGGCTGGTCGCAGTGGCTCATGCCTGTAATCCCAGCATTTTGGGAGGCCAAGGTGGGAGGATCACCTCAAGTCGGGAGTTTGAGACCAGCCTGACAAACACAGAGAAACCCCATCTCTACTAAAAATACCAAATTAGCCGGGAGTGGTGGCACATGCCTGTAATCCCTCAGGAGGCTGAGGCAGGAGAATCACTTGAATCCGGGAGGCAGAGGTTACAGTGAGCCGAGATCGCGCCATTGCATTCCAGCCTGGGTGACAAGAGCGAAACTCTGTCTCAAAAATAAATAATAAATAATAAAGCTAGTGTGGGACACTAGGTTGAGGCAAGTGGAGAGAACCTTACATGTTAGGTGAAGTCCAAGGAAATTACAAACCTGATTTGTGTAGAATGGTTGCATGAAGAAAAGGAAATTTCAAAGGTGGAAGGCCTTCATTCCAGGCATATTTCAGAACATTCATAGAAAGGCTTGGAATGAGTGTGAAAGCAAAGTCATGTTTTACTTCAGCACTTTAGGAGTAGAAAAACCACACCCACAGTCACACTACGGTACCTGGAAGATGGTGAACTTTCTGAGCCTCCCCAGTTTTCAGGGAACTTGGGTTGGTGGTAATTAACCTGCAAGAGGCTATTTCCATCCCCCTTCCTTGCTGGTCCTTTGAAGGAGCCAGTTCTCAATCTCCTGCTCCAAGTGTCATGGGGTCGGGGGGTTGGGGGAGGCCGGGCGGCGGGTTGCTAGTAGTGGATTTTCATTAGCACCTGGAAGAGGTGCAAAGGGATGGCTGAGCAGGGTTTGGGGAACTGGAAATGACCCTACTGAGGCAAGGGAAAGGGTAAGTGTGCAGGATTTTCTACTTCCGGCAATATCTGCATGGCAGTGCACGTAGGGGCTTGGCAGTCACAGGGCCATGAAGAGGCCAGGAGCTCAGCTTTCTTATGTAACTCCAAATATTTCTTCTTGTTTTGGCAATTTAGAGAAAGGATCCTCTTCCTGTAACGTGCGCCCAGCTTGCACAGACAAAGATTATTTCTACACACACACGGCCTGTGATGCCAACGGAGAGGTAGGTAGCACCATCTTGGAGCCCCTAGCCCCAGATGGAGTGTCTTTCACTCCCTGAGCTTTGCCACCATTTGGAGCTCCAGCAGTCAGTGACCCTGGCACTAGTTAAAATCCCACAGACCTTTGAGGGAACCCCAGGGCTAGGTGGGGCAGGGGGCAAAATGAGACCTCTTCATTCATTTTCCGGTCAGAAACTGTTTTGCAGCATGTGTTTCACTGTTTATATACATACGCTCTGTTTCAAAAACCCACTTCATTCTCTCTTGCTTGCTTCTTTTATTTGCCGAGCCCCTTGGGGCAGAGCCTGCCTGTCGTGCACAGCCTTGCCCCTCGGTGCTGCATTTGTGGGCTGGCACGGAACGATTCCTGCTTGTGGCCTGACTTGTTCCGTTTCTGCGGCTTCTCTTTCCTCCAGGCTTTCTGCCTTAGAAAGAACTTTCCCTCCTAATCTACATTGTTACTAAGTCAACAAGCACTCTTTGAGGTTAACTGATGTGTCAGGCAGGGCGCTATAGGCTGGGGAGTCAGGGATGACTGAGGCAAGCTCCTGCCCTCAGGAAGCGCACAGTCCTGCATGGGAGGCTGGAGAGAGAAACACGAGCCCAATCAAGGCAACCAGAGGGATGTGCAGGGAATTGGGAGCACCCAGAAGAGGAGCGACCAGGACCTGGGGTGGGGGTGGCAGAGAAAGCCTCTCAGAGGAGGCCATTTGTTCAACAGCCCACAAATACTTATCAAGTAGCTTCTCTGTGCCAGGTACTGTGCTAGGCACTAGGTATGTATCAGTTAAGAAAACTGAGGGAACCTCTAGCTCTTATGGAGCTTAAGTCTTGTTGGGGAGGGAGACAAATGGGTATATAATATTGCAATTGGTAGAAAGTGGTAGGAAGGAAAAAAATAAACCCGGATTAGGAGATAGAGAATGATGGAGAGGGATGCTGCTATTTTAGAAAGGATAAGGATGGCCTCTCTGAGGAGGTGATATTTGCGCAGAGGCGTGAAGGAGATGAGGGAGCAGCCACGGAGCTTTCCAGGCAGCGGGCACGGCAGGAGTGGAGGCGGCAGCTGCAGGGCCTGGTGGGTGGAGGAACAGCGTAAGTGAGCAGGGAAGGGCTTGAGGCACAGGGAGAAGGGCCTGGTTGAGCTGTCTCTATCCCCTAAGCCAGAGACTCTCGAGGGGATAGAACTGGGAGTTGGGAATTCTGCACTCAGCACTAAGCATGATGCTTGGCTCTTAAGATGCATAAACATTTGCTGGCTGGATGGCTGGCTGACTTCTCCCTTTCCTAACTAAGCATGGGTTAAAGTCTGGTCTTTAACAATGAATATTTTTCACGTCATCTCTTACCAGCACCACCTCCCTGATGTATTTGGGGCATCATCTCCTTCCCCAGCAGCCAAGAGAGAATGGCTGTGTTTTGTCAGCTGCACCTTAGACCCAGTTCTGTGGTGTGTGGTATTCTGTAAGACCTTGTAAAAATTATTTTCATTTTCTTGGTCTCAGCTGACTCACTAATGAAAGGCAGATGATTAATTCTGCTGCTCTTCTCCCTCCTGTTCATAACATGTGACTGAATGTGGCTGTCTTTCCTCCCTTCTGCCCCATTCAGTTCCCTCCCTGGGCTCACACCAAAGCCTCCTGGATCAGCAGTGTGTTTGCTGCCTGCAAGCCCAGGTGTCTGCCTTGGCCTAACTACCACCGGGGCCTTTAGATGCTGGGTCAGACCAAAGCCTGTGTTCCCGCCTTACAGCACAGCCAAAGCCCAGCTCAGAGGAGGAGCACTGAAGCGTGTGCTTTCAGGAGTGTGTGTGAATATGCATTCCCCAGTCGTGGCTGGCAGAATTCCACCTTGTGCCTCATTCCCACATGGGTTCTGCTCAGTCTGGTGATTCAGTTTGTCTTCTAAACTGTATTTTAAAATCAAGGGACACACCTCAAGCTGGCTCCTATGATTATGTTTCTGACCTTGGCTGTGCCTCAGTCATTTCTCAGGGACCAGGTTGGCCCATCCACTGGGGCTACTGAGCGTGCTGTTCCAAGAGCAGGCCTGAGTCAGTGTGCTGGCTCCTGGGACCTCCTCTCCCTGAGACTCACAGGAGGCAGGTGGGGTTCAAGCCTGGGACTCTGGCTGTCACAGCCCTTCACAGGGAGGAGGGCCAAGCTGAACAGGGGGAGGAGGAGCCCAGGGCTCCCCATCAATTAAGGCAGCCTGTGTCCCTCCTTAAGGACTTGTTTCTTTCTCCTTTTTTTTTTTTTTTTTTAAAATGGAGTCTGGCTCTGTTGCCCAGGCTGGAGTGCAGTGGCACAATCTCGGCTCACTGCAACCTCCGCTTTCTGGGTTCAAGTGATTCTTCTGCCTCAACCTCCCGAGTAGCTGGGACTACAGGTGTGCGCCACCATGCCCAGCTAATTTTTGTATTTTTTTAGTAGAGAAGGGGTTTCTTTCTTTTTTTTTCTTTTTTTTATTAAGGGCAGGGACTTAATCAGCGAAGGGGTTTCACCATATTGGTCAGGCTGGTCTTTAACTCCTGGCCTTGTGATCTGCCCACCTCAGCCTCTCAAAGTGCTGGGATTACAGACGTGAGCCACTGCTCCCAGCAAGGACTTGTTTCTTACCTTGAAAAACTATGGACAGAGGCCTTAGTCATCCTTCTTTTCATGTGTGTGGTATGCTGCACAGATCATGTTCATCAACCCCTCAGTGCAACCCATAAGGGTCCTTTATTGTCCGTGACTCGATCTGAGGGCCATATGGGAAGAATGGAGCTGCCCACCTTCACCCCTGACTCAGCTGGGGTCTCCTGAGGGTCATCTCCACTTCTGCACACAATGCAGGGACCATGTCTCGTTCATCTCGTGAGACCCCAGGTCTGGCACATAGATGTATTAGGCTTTCTGTAAAGGTTGACCCAATCAATAAAAGATCAAAGAATGCACCACTCAAACAGTAAGCTGGGACATCTCAGCCAACCCCTCATTCCCCAGGGGGCATGTGAGTCCCCTCCACTCTGTGCCTTTCTGAGTTCTGGGATTTTCACCAGCTGCTTTTCCTGTGACCTTGATAGCAACAAGATTCTACAGTGGAATCGGAGCTTTCTCTAAGACAACTGGTCCCACATCCTCTGTCATGTCTTCATTAGAGCTATTCCCTGTCACCCGGGCAACATTCATTTGGCAGATAGTTATTGGGCACAACCATGAGTCAGGCACTGGTTCGGTGCTTGGGATACATCAGTGACCGACACAAAGTTTCCACCCCTCCAGAGGAACTCTTGCCTGGCCCGGAATCTGTGTCTCTGCCCCCAATCCCCATCCTCAAGGCAGAGTCCCAAAGATGTCTTAAATCTCACACAGGCTGAGCTGTACTTAATCCATTTCTGCAGACACAGCTCATGTACAAATGGGCCATGCCGAAAATCTGTAGTGAGGACCTTGAGGGGGCGGTGAAGCTGCCTGCCTCTGGTGTGAAGACCCGCTGCCCACCCTGCAACCCGGGCTTCTTCAAAACCAGCAACAGCACCTGCGAGCCCTGCCCATACGGTTCCTACTCCAATGGCTCAGGTAACCTCCTCCCCAGCCCACTCCCTGCCTCACATCCAGCCCCCCGTCGGCTGTGAGGGTGGGCTGCGTGGGCACTCAGAGTGGCCAGCTGAATGCAGACTCCACCCTTCCAAGGGAGGCAGTGAGGACCAGGCCACCTCTGAAGACTAAACTCAGGAGAAGAGAGGTCAGGGCTGGCCTTGTCTGCAGGTCAGAGTCAGACTTGAGGCTGCCTTCCTTTCTCCTCGCTCTAACTGCAAATGTGACTCAGGCCTGGAGGTGCCCAATCCTCAAAGCAGAGCTTCCAGCACGTAGCAGAGATGCTGACTAGAAGGCTTAAGGGGCTGGGATGACCAGCTTGACACAACCAGAACCTATAAGCCATGCTGCCTTGGGGGGATTTGTGTACCTGTTAATATAAATGCATTTAATGATAATGTGACAATAATATGAACTACGTGTATCAGACTAGAAGGTACATTTAAGTTCTGAAATGGAAATTTTGGTGGGCAAGTAGGATGGCTGGCATCTTAGAATGAAGGCCCAGTGTTTACATCTTGAGTTAGCTAAATACGTTGTCAGAATGTTTTTGAGTCAGCCTGACACACCTTCCTGCAGCAGTACTCAGCAGCCAGGCTTGTTGGCTGCTCGCCACTGTTGCCACTTGTCTGTGTGGCAGCAGCTCCAGTCAAAGTGGCCGCAGCTTTCCCGCTGAATGCATGGATCTTGTGGTTCCCCAGATTGTACCCGCTGCCCTGCGGGAACTGAACCGGCTGTGGGATTTGAATACAAATGGTGGAACACGCTGCCCGCAAACATGGAAACGACCGTTCTCAGTGGGATCAACTTCGAGTACAAGGGCATGACAGGTAATTGCCTCCCCCTGTGCCATGGGCTGTCAGCTCCCTGCACACCCTCAGTTCTCCCAGCATCACATTTCTTCACAACAGTGATGTCTGAGAAAAATAAGCTAACCAGGTCATGCATTCCCTTGAAAGTTCCACTCCTCATGGACATATGTCCTGCCAAGATGGCTTTAGAGGAAGGAACAGAGCTGGAAACATAAGCGTGCACTTCAAAGGTCTTTCTCTGAGAGCTTCAGGGTCTTTGACCAAAGTGGCAGGATAAGTAAGGTGGTTCGTGTTCAGTGGTGGTTCTGGGCGCCTCAAAAGATGGTGTCACATCTCCCTTCCAGAGTGTCATCTGGGTGCACATTTGCCTTGCACCCAAGAGCACAAGGACATTAACTCTCCCCTCTCCTTTTCAGGCTGGGAGGTGGCTGGTGATCACATTTATACAGCTGCTGGAGCCTCAGACAACGACTTCATGATTCTCACTCTGGTTGTGCCTGGATTTAGGTGAGGAATCCAAAGCCCACGGGCGTCCAGGCCAGCTTGGCCATATCTGAATCCCAAGTATTTTGGAATATTGTAGAGGAGAGGGATTCTGGGGTTGTGTTTCATTTCATTTCAAATGTCAGTTGAGAACAGAGGGCACAGTCATAGTTTGACCAAGGTAACCTGAATGCTAACACGTTTCAAGCCGTCCATGTTGATTTACTGACTGCTCTCTCAGCCCGTATAGCTTCTCCCATCCATTAGCCACGTGCTATTCAAATTCTTCCTCCTCACAGCATCACTTCAGATTAAAAAAAAAAAAAAAAAAAACACCAAAAAATAATAGGGCCAGAAATGCCCATAGCTAGTTCATCTTTATTTGGGGCAAGAAGATTGGGAGGGATTGTTCTTATTATCATATTTGTCCCCGTATCTCAAGAAGACCTAGGGCAACAAGAAATTTGTTTTCCACTAAACAAACACACAAACACATCTCCTGGCTGCGTGGTGTGGTGGAAGGAACACTGGACTGAAAGGGCACTCGTGATTTGCTGCTTACTTGCTGTGCGACCTTGGGAAAGTCACTTCACCTATTCAGGCTCCGGGCCCCTCATCCACAAAACCAGTGAGTGATTTAGGACTGAGGTTGAGATGGCTCTTCCAACCCACTGGTTAACACAACTGCATAGAGATACTGAGAACTGGAGGTCCTCAGAATTCAGGCAAATGACTAAAGCCAAACGGAAAGCCATGAATGAATTTTCAAGGTCAAAGTGAACTCTTCTGTTTATATGAGCTCTGAAGATAAGGAGCAACCACTGAATGGGCTTCCCCATTGCCAATTTGACACCTTCATTCCCTCCTTCGAGGTCCCTGCTCCCTATCCCTGGGATGGTGCTCAGTTTGCCTTCCCTTAACACACATTACTCAGAGCTGGCCAGATACAGCCTGTGTTTGCAAGGCAGTAAACTTTTTAGGCTCTTTTGGAATAACACTCAAAAAATACTTTCCAGTTTGCAAATCTGATCGCTGTAGTAAATTGCTGCCTCATCCCCACTACCACCCCAGCCCACTTGGGCACAGCTCTCTCTTTCCCAAAAGTAGGACCAAACTGAGGACTTTGGAGGATCACAAATTCTGCTCCTTTAACCCCAGCAAAGCTCCCCAGAGCTGGAGAGAGAGAGCTGCTGATTATATGTCAACAATTTACAGTCTTATGATAGCAGTGCTTCTCAAACTTAAATGTGCGCACGAATCACCTGGGAATCATATTAACATGCAGATTCTGATTCACTGGGTCTGGGAGGAGCCTGAGGTTCTGCAGTTCTAATAAACTCAGGGAGATGGCCATGCTGCGGGTCTGCAGACCATAGTCTGCTAGTGAGGTGATACAGCATTTTATAAAGCACCTCCATATCTGTCATGCCTTCAGGTCTCCCCACAATGGTGGGAGGTAGGTAAGAAAGAGATTTCATCACCTCCATTTTGCAGATGAGGCAACTATGGTTTGGCTGGGTCAGGGTCACAAAGCTGGGAGGGCAGAATTGGATTTAGTCCACACACTTTCCATCGTACTCAGAACCTAATCCTGTCCCCCAGCAGACCCTCTGCTGTTGTCTGGGCTCCTCAGTAAGCACTGCCTGGCCTCTAGAACTGACTTTTAATTTCTGCCCCTACAGACCTCCACAGTCGTTGATGGCAGACACAGAGAATAAAGAGGTGGCCAGAATCACGTTTGTCTTTGAGACTATCTGTTCGGTGAACTGTGAGCTCTACTTCATGGTGGTGCGTTTTCCTTTCTTTGCCCGCTATAGGGCCTCCAGGGGAGGGTTAGTCCTATCTGCCCCATTGGTATGTCCACGTGACTGACACCCCACTTGTAGTGATTCCACAGAGGAAAGGCCCAGACTGACCAGCAGGGACGTCACAGTTTAACAAGGGTCTCACCAACCGTGATGGCACTGGGATGGCAGCCACATGGGCCCCCAGTTTCCCTCTGGCCATCACACCCTCTTCACTTGTCTGTCCTGGGTTCAGGGTGTGAATTCTAGGACCAACACTCCTGTGGAGACCTGGAAAGGTTCCAAGGGCAAACAGTCCTATACCTACATCATTGAGGAGAACGCTACCACGAGCTTCACCTGGGCCTTCCAGAGGACTGTTTTTCATGAGGCAGTAAGTTTCTCCCCTTCCTCAGACACCCAGCTCCCAGGAGAGACACTCCGAACCCAGGAGGATTCTTAGCATTAGCTTAAGCATGAGTCTGAAGTTCCGAATCCAAGGGTTAGAAGGATCTTAGGGAGTCGAGCAGAAAACTGCCTAACCCAGCCCTCTGAGGACCACTTTGTCCAAATGACTTCCTGGAAAGATGACACCGTAAGAAATAAGCTGGCCCTCCTTGTAGTCCCTGCCCTGATACATGTGGTACCAGACTTGTTGTTTTTTTAAAATAATAACAACTCTGCTTTTATTTTCTCAACTCAAAGGAATACAGGCTCATTGCAGAAAACTCAGAAAGTAGAAATAAACAAAAATAAGAAATAAAATCAGCCACAATCCCGCTACCCAGAGATAAACGAGTTAACATCTGGAGCATCTCCTATACACTCTATTTCTCTACAAATATATTTTTTTTCTTGTTTACAAGGAAAAGTCTTGCTTTTTTCATAAAACAGTATCCATTGCATATTTTCCCCATGGCACTTAATATTTTTATATGTCCTATAAATGGTTCAGTCTCATTTTAAAATGACACCAGCTACACGTGAAGAGCTACTGGCAAGTGGGTAAAAAGGGTCGGATGCTTGTAAGATTCTTCTTGACTATCACAGGATGAAAGATTAAGTACCTTGCTCTTTCGAGAGGCCTCAATTGTTGCTGCTGTCTCAGGCCTCCCCCTCTCCTCTCTTGTTTCCTTGTCTCCAGAGCAGGAAGTACACCAATGACGTCGCCAAGATCTACTCCATCAATGTCACCAATGTCATGGATGGCGTGGCCTCCTACTGCCATCCCTGTGCCCTAGAAGCCTCTGATGTGGGCTCCTCCTGCACCTCTTGTCCTGCTGGTTACTATATTGACCGAGATTCAGGAACATGCCACTCCTGCCCCCCTAATACAATTCTGAAAGCCCACCAGCCTTATGGTGTCCAGGCCTGTGTGCCCTGTGGTCCAGGGACCAAGAGCAACAAGGTACCTGCAGTCTGGCATGCACTCTAAACCTGGCCCTCTGGTTGGATGACATCACAAGATGCTGGGTCCTGGGTGGGGTTCTTGAGAGGCTGATACCCAAGTGCTCCCCTTAGCATACTCCTAGGCTGGAGTCCTGGAGGACATCCATCTAGGCTATGACTGTGGAGGGTGAGCAGGGCTTGATTTCCAGGGTTCAGGACTTAGTCACTGGCAAGTCTCATCTTCAGGTGGCAGGTAAGAGAGGTTGGCGACTGTGTGGTCTAGAGGGTTATTTGGCATCTGTGCAGAGACCTAGAGGGAAGGAACAGTGGGGTGGGGCCTGTGGCTTATATCCAGCATTGTCCAATCCGGCCTGTTTTTATGGAAATCTGCCCCTTCTTCTTTGAAAAGATAAAAACCCAACCATTGCTGGGACATATGAATAACTGGCATTGCTATCTTCTATCCCAGTGGCTTCTCAGCTTTACCAGTATAAGGATTCCTTTCCTAAGCGGGAAAAGGCTGGGTGCAGTGGCTCACACCTATAATCCCAACACTTTAGGAGGCTGAGGTGTGAAGATCATTTGAGCCCGGGGGTTCAAGGTTGTAATCAGCCATGATTGTGCCACAGCACTCCAGCCTGGGTGACAGAACAAGACTCTGTCTCTAATTTAAAAATAAATAAAAATAAAGGCACCTTTAAAAACTAGTAAATAAGTAAAGTGGATAAGCAGTGTTGCTGTCCCCATGGACTTTCTGCGTCTGAGAAGTACTTATGACTAAAAGTTCTTAGGTATTAATCAATGCTTTTAAATGACTTTGTATTTTACTGATCACATACATCTATAAGGCACTATCAATATGTACTCCACAAACGTTGCCTAGTTCATCTGTGCAGTGAGTGCAACGATTCTACAGACCCCTGGCAACCTCTTTGGGGTACCCTGGACTTTTGCCACAACCTTCCTTCCCTGGAGCTCCCTCTGCTGCTGTGGGAGGAAATGACAGTTGTGTGCGGCTGCCTCGGAATGGTGACCCTAAAACAGAGCAATGAAAGGGTTTATGGGAAGAAAATTTCCTTTTGGAGTTCAGTTTCCTACAGAGAACCTGAGAAACAGGAAGCAGCAGGGTTCAGTGAGTTTTACACTGTGAGGGAGGGAGGAGGGAGCAAGAGGGGTTTCTCTTCTTCCATCTCAGATTCCTCATTGTCTTCTGCTCGAAAGTAAAAAGGGTCCTCTTGTGTCTTGAGAAGCTTCTATAATCCAGGCACAGGGATAAGGCTATAGAATTTGACTGAACTCCCTTCTGAAAAATAATAGGTTTGGATTTGTCCATCACATATGTGCTAATAACTGAATGGCAACATATACATCAGTCCCGCTTGTGCCTGTTTCACTTCTTTTACTGGCCACCCCGAATCCTTTCTTCCTCCTCATTACCCCAATTGGGCGGGACCAGACTGGGGAGAAAACTGCCACTCTCAGCCGCAACCCCTCAAAGGCCCGGCCTGAGCAGCTGGCCTGACCCGTCCCTCCCCCGCTCAGATCCACTCTCTGTGCTACAATGATTGCACCTTCTCACGCCACACTCCGGCCAGGACTTTCGACTACAACTTCTCTGCGTTGTCAAACACGGTCACTCTCGCTGGAGGGCCAAGCTTCACTTCCAAAGGGCTGAAATACTTCCATCACTTTACCCTCAGTCTCTGTGGAAACCAGGTAAGGTATGCCAGTTGACAGGTTGAGAATTGAATGGGGGAGGCCCGTGGATCAGAGGCCAGAGACAGACACAGGAGAAAACCAGAAATCCTTCAGGCAGCAGGGGGTTAGGGAGCTTCAGATGATTTTTTTTTTTTTTTTTTGAAACCGAGTCTTGCTCTGGCTCTGTCGCCCACACTGGAGCGCAGTGGCGCGATCTCGGCTCACTACAACATTTGCCTCCAGGATTCAATTGATTCTCCTGCCTCAGCTGCCCAAGTAGCTGGGATTACAGGCACCCGCCATCACCCCCGGTTAATTTTGTATTTTTAGTAGAGATGGGGTTTTGCCATGTTGGCCAGGCTGGTCTCGAACGTCTGACCTTGTGACCCATCCGCCTCTGCCTCCCAAATTGCCAGGATTACAGGCGTGAGCCACCACCCCCGGCCTCAGAGATTTTTAAATATTGTTCTCCCTGAGGACATTTTCCCCTAAAATTAAATAATCAGGATTATAAACACTTAGAAAAATAAAGATGTTTAAAATAAGGTGTTCTTTTACTTTTACCTGCTCTTTATTTCCTCAGAATAAGTATATTTAAAAATATCCAGGAGGAAGGGTTTTTTTTCCCTTCCTTGAAAAAGCAGTCTTCAGCAATCACTGCATTTGTTGCTTGTTTTCTACAGGCTGGATAAAATCAACCGTTTCTGGTTCATCCACATGTCTCTTTGCTGACAGTACAAAAGAAAGTAACATGAAATGCTTTATAAGGAAAGATTGTCACCATCAGCCATTTCATGCTGCTGCAAATATTTCAGATCCAAAATTCAAAGGCAGAAATGTCAAGGTTAATCCCACCACTGCACATGACTAAACTGCAAACAATTAGAAGTTGGAAAGTTCATTTCGAATGTTACAAAATAGACTGGGTGCAGTGGTTCATGCCTGTAATCCCAGCAATTTGGAGGCCAAGGCAGGTGGATCACCTGAGGTTTGCAGTTCAAGACCAGCCTGACCAACATGGTAAAACCCTGTTTCTACCAAAAATACAAAAATTAGCCAAGCATAGTGGCGCACACCTATAGTTCCAACTACTTGGGAGGCTGAGGTAGGAGAATTGCTTGAACCCGGGAGGTGGAGGTTGCAATGAGCCGAGATGATGCCACTGCACTCCAGCCTGGGTAACACAGCAAGACTCCATCTAAAAAAAAAAAAAAACAGTTACAAAATAAAGAGCATGTTGAGCATTCAGTCTTTGACTCTGTTGGTGGTAAGGCCTTCACAGCATAGAGCTCTGACCATCTTCTGCAGCATACAAAGAAGTTGATGGGTGTTTATATAAAGAACATGTCAAAAAATAAACTAATGTATGAAAGACAGTTTATTTCTTGTTTTCAGAAGTCTTTGAAGAGGTTAAAATGAAGGCTCAGAAGTAACAGGTCATGATCACTTAGGAAATAAAACTGATTAAAGCAGCCTCCATGTAGCAAAAGTTTCACTCAGTGAATTATGAAGAGCTATGAAGGTGGGGAATTTGGGGAAATGGTGTATTTTTTTCTTTGCTCCTTTCCTTTTTTAAAAATGCTTATGGTATACTGCCGCACCACAGATCGTTAGTTCAAAGACAAAAGAACTCTTTGTTTTATTGTAATGTAAGGGTTTCCTTCAGTTTTTAAGCTTACCTACTTTTTACAATCTAGAAAAAAAAAGCTAAGAGACACCAGATTAGCACCATTTATAATAAAATTTATAACACTGAAAATGTTGGCTGGGCACAGTGGCTCACCCGTCTAATCCCAACACTCTGGGAGACTGAGGCAGGAGGATTGCTTGAGCCCAAGAGTTCAAGACCAGCCTGGACAACACAGAGAGACCCTAACTCTACCAAAAAAAAAACAAAAAAAAAAACAAAACTCCCCTATGGTTCCAGCAACTCAGGATGCTCAGGCAGGAGGATCACTTGAACCCAGGAGGTCAAGGCTTTGAGTTATGATTTTTTATTTTATGATTTGAGCTATGATTGCACCTTGGCACTCCAGCCTGGGCAATAGATCAAGACTCTGTCTCAAAAGAAAAAATCAAATCTGTCTTATCATTAGACCTGGGTTGAATAACATTCCCCTACAACACACCACTGGAAAGCTGAAAATTTAGATGTAAAAAAGCCTTCCCTATTCCCTTCTGGGGATTCCTCTGTGCCCACTCACTTCTTCCCACTTCTTCCTCCCCACTCCCCAACCAGGGTAGGAAAATGTCTGTGTGCACCGATAACGTCACTGACCTCCGGATTCCTGAGGGTGAGTCAGGGTTCTCCAAATCTATCACAGCCTACGTCTGCCAGGCAGTCATCATCCCCACAGAGGTGACAGGCTACAAGGCCGGGGTTTCCTCACAGCCTGTCAGCCTTGCTGACCGACTTATTGGTGAGTAACTCTGCTGCTTCAGCCTTGAGTGTGTGTGTGTGTGTGTGTGTGTGTGTGTGTGTGAGGTTACCAGGCTGGGAGGTAAAAGGTCCCACATGAGGGGCCCAACCTCTTGACCTGTGTTTTCTATTCCATTCTGTATGCCAAGTGTTCCCGGGGCCTCTGACAAACCCTTGGGTCGCCCCTTTCATAAGCCACTCAGGGATGTGATGAGATGAAGTGAGGTTGCATGTTGATAGGTTTTGGAAGAATTGAAGTGGTTGCCAGCTAATGCTACTAGTGGGAACTAATTAGGAGCTCTAATTTGGCAGGGGTGACAACAGATATGACTCTGGATGGAATCACCTCCCCAGCTGAACTTTTCCACCCGGAGTCCTTGGGAATACCGGACGTGATCTTCTTTTATAGGTGAAGATGAGAGGCTAGGCTAATGCAAGTGAAACCTAGGACTCCTCCATAATTTCTGCTGCATACCTCCCTCTCTAGCCACCTACTGCTTATCAAGCCAGAACATGTCTAAGGTCCAGCAGATCTGTCCAGTCATGATAGCTAAAGGCTGGGAGTTCCCGATCCCAGCTTCTTGGGTATTACTGGAGCAGGTCTGCCCTAGAGGCAAGGAGAAATTCTGGATGATCTGCAGTGGACTTCCCTTCCAGCCTAAGCAGGCTCCAGTGTACGCCAGCCATGATTTTCTGAAACCAGGGCATGTCCCCCTTGACTGCATTGATCCTCACCCTTCCATGTATACACCAAGGCCTGTGCACTCCCTGTGTGCTAGGCTAAAGCCCAGGTCCTGACTTCCCCAGCTAGGGAATTGCTCCATGCTGATTTCACCTGGTGGCTGTCCAATAACACAGCTGAGTGACTCATTCCCCTATGGGGGCTGGCTTTCTCTGCAGGTCCAATGATGTGACCCAGTCCTGCAGTTCTGGGAGATCAACTACTATCCGTGTCAGATGCAGTCCACAGAAAACTGTCCCTGGAAGATTGTTGCTGCCAGGGTAAGCCCTGCAAAGGGGTGTAACAAAGGCCAAAATCTCCCTTCCTTGAAGTCATTCCATCCTGAGATCCAGAGATTACTGAAAAAGAGCAAAAAAAGAGTTTGAGATGCATTTATGGGCTCTTAGGAGCACAGTCATGGCCCCAAAACCTCAACCGTCAGATGGCAAGAATGGGGCAGAAGGAAGAGTGAAAGCTGCCCTCATATTCGTGGACCATTGTGGTGGCCGCTGTGCAGCACAGTAACCAACAGCTCGGCTGAGAGCCAGATTGAATCATCTCCTCCACTTACTACCTATGTTATCAGGATATGTTTCTTACCTTCTCTAGATCTCTTTTTTCCTTATCAGTACAAAATGGGTATAATGCTAAATTCCCTGAGGGAGTTGTTTTGAGGATTAAATGAGACAAGGAGGCTTTAGGACATTTCATGATCTCCACCATTATGAGGATTAGTCAAGGTTTAGGGATCCTAGGAATCTCTCTGCAACTATAATACCCAGTTCTGAGTTTAATAGCAGAGTGAACTAAATAAAAAACTTCCAAATGAATATGACCACAGGACACCCCTCCCCTCCCCATATAACAGCAACTAACATCTTGACGGGCACTAGCATCTTGAGGAAGATGTTTTGAAAATGCCGCACCTAAACAGCTGACTTGGGAGACGCGGAGCAGAGCAGGGCGTCTTGACCCAATAGTGGTGTCTGAGTGTCAAATCCCTGCTCTTGCTGTTGTAAACACCACAGTAAAGTACATAGCAGGTATCCATGACCGGACGTTCATTCCTGAAGCCCACCTCAACTCCAATCTCACCCCCAGGAAGCTGTGTCAAAGTGGCTATTGCAAAATGTTGCAAGTCCGTGAGGAGGACGGGATCCTCGGAGGGGCTCATGGGACAGCCATGCTAGAGCTCAGACACCTTCAATGGTTCCCATGTGATGTCAGCAAAAACATAAACCAGCAGAATGTGGGGAGCCCACTAGAGGCCAGGAAGGCCTCTTATCATCCATGAAATCAGAGATCAAAACCTGTGTTAAGGACTAGTTGCAAAGATCCTGGTAGGGCTGACAGTTGGGCAGGGAGAGGATAAATCAGGCAAGCTGTGAGACAATAGGCATCCAACCAGATCTTCCCCACTGGTCTAGCGAGTGAGAGCTCAGGTCTCCTTTCTGCTTTGGTAGAACGTGCTCCGATGGGACCTGTGATGGCTGCAACTTCCACTTCCTGTGGGAGAGCGCGGCTGCGTGCCCGCTCTGCTCAGTGGCTGACTACCACGCTATCATCAGCAGCTGTGTGGCTGGGATCCAGGTGGGTTTCCCTCTGACTGAGCACTCCCACGAGAGAAGGGAATGGAAGAGCTGAGTTCCTTATTTTTCTCCCCAACAGAAGACTACTTATGTGTGGCGAGAACCCAAGCTATGCTCTGGTGGCATCTCTCTGCCTGAGCAGAGAGTCACCATCTGCAAAACCATAGATTTCTGGCTGAAAGTGGGCATCTCTGCAGGCACCTGTACTGCCATCCTGCTCACCGTCTTGACCTGCTACTTTTGGAAAAAGAATCAAAAGTACATGATGGGGTATTGGAGTTTGGGGATGGACAGGGTTGGATTATTGATCAGGGAGAACATCTGAGAGTATCAACTCAAGGGGTTTTTCTCTGGAGTTGGCTACAGACTCTGTGACTCTGGTCAGAGGCTTGTTGAGCCACTTACCCAGTGTATGCTTTAGGCATCCTGACTCCTGAACAGGAATGGTACCATGGTGGCAGACTATAAATGGATGTTAGATCCTCAAAAGCAAAGGGTATCCTTAATGCGTTGTTATTTTTAACAATACAGAGAATGACATTATGATGTCAATATTTCTCTTAAGCTTTGAGATCACAGAAACAGACAGCCTTAAGGAAGCAAGATCACTGAACTGGGAACCAAATTCCTTCTGGTCGCCCAGCCCAGACACCATTTTGCCATGCTTCAGTCTCCTTACCCATGTCATGGGAGTAGGACCTGCTCGTAGCCCGACCTCTCTACCTCTTTCCCCCTTATTCCCACATTTTGGGATCTTGTCTTTCCCATCCTCCTGTTCCATAGACTAGAGTACAAGTATTCCAAGCTGGTAATGAATGCTACCCTCAAGGACTGTGACCTGCCAGCAGCCGACAGCTGTGCCATCATGGAAGGTGAGGATGTGGAAGACGACCTCATCTTTACCAGCAAGAAGTCACTCTTTGGGAAGATCAAATCATTTACCTCCAAGGTAGGGGGCCTGGCCAGTGCACTGAGGTCAGCCTGGAGGGCTGGAGGAGACACTGCTCCTCAGACACTGAATGGTCCTGTACTGTTCAGAGCACCCTGCTCCCCACACCCCATATGACTCTATTTCCCCACTCTGAAAATCTTGCCTTCTGCCTTCTGTGTTTCTTTCCCCTGGGGCCCAAGGCTGCTCTTGATCAGGCTCCTTCTCTTCCAACATGCACTCCAGTTAGTGAACTGTTTGGGCCTTTGCACTTCCAGAAGGAGTACTGAACCATCCATGTTGTAAGAATCATTCCCCACCCCTTTTTTCACTTTCACTGAAAGGGGGAAAAGGTTATCTCTAGGATCAACTTCTGATAGAAGTCAGGCTCTCCTTTGACCAGTGGAGGGTGCTGTCCTCCAGGTGTCTGGGCCCGGTCCTTTGGGAGCTGAGTCATAGTTAAATCTCAGCTGTTCCCCACTGAGCAATTCTGAGCTGGGAGGGTTGGCTCTGTGTGGGTGGGTGAGTGAGTATGAGGCTCATAAATGCAATACAGACAACACTGTCACTGGGCGTGGGGCCAGCAGAGAGCATCCAATCATCTCCTCCAGGGCCACAGCCCTCTGCAGCCCCACTCTGCCAGTGCCTGTACCTGACTACTGCTCTGAGCCAGTTCATCCCAATAGAAGTGGGTGGGGAGGGCAGTAGGAGGAAGGAAGGTATTGGCAGGTGGTAAGAAAGGACACCACTTGGGTATTTAGATTGCTGAGTCTTGTTTCCTTTGTGCTGACCTGCTAGGGAGACTCCCTTGGTCTTCCTAGGCTATGATTTTTTTTTTTTTTTT